TGCTGATTTGATTATTATTTTGATTCTTTCATTTCTACTTTTCGTTTGAGCGGAACAATTTATTATCTCTGCCATGAATATTACAAAATCATTTTTGCTCACTATCAGAGTTTCCGCTTTCAGTTGTTCACATTTTTGACATGTCTCTGCATTTTTGTTCCTGTTTTCATTTTGTTTAGACACAGTCATAATTTCTGGAACCGTTTTTAATGCTTCCGCATAGCTGATTCCTTGAACAGCTTTTACTCTTTGTACTTCTGCCTGCCTTTTGCTAACCTCACACCCTCGATACGCTGAGCTATGATCCCCTCCACAGTTGCAACATTTCAACTTTGCACCCTCTTCACATTTTCCATATTCGTGTTCCCCACTACATTTACCACACCTTTGCTTTCCCTTGCAAAAAGCTGCTATATGTCCAAATCTCTGACATTTATAACACCGAAGGGGCGGGGGAATGTACAGTCTTACATCATAGCACATATACCCGATTAATATCTTTTTCGGGAGTGTCTCCTCATCAAATGTGACCATAACAGAAAGACTATCACAAGCACTTCCATTTCTGTTTGTTCTTAAGCGTTTAGCTTCGACCACATTTGCATTTGTTATGCTTGCTTTCACTTCATCTGCCGAAACATTGACAGGAATTCCTGTCACAACGCCTTTAACATATCTTTTCCCGTTTGTCTTGGAACATTCTACTTTTTTCCCATTGATTTTATTCACCTTAATTGCTTTAGCTTGCTGTTTTTCATCTTTACAGAAAATCAGTATCGATCCGTTTCTCAAGATTTTTGCACTCTTTATTATACCTATTTCCTTATGCAGTGTTTTGGTTAGTTGTATCGGATTCATACCTCCAAATGTATCCCCTTCTTGCACAGGTTTAGCAAATACCTTGTATTCCACTGTCACCGTTTCCTCTAGGGCTGAGCATCTATCCGAATCACTTTCATCAGATTTATTTCTTCGTTTCTTTTTCCGTTTGTTGTTTTTAACCATGTCCCATTTTTCATAGTTCCCGCAAACTACTTCCATATCTCCTACTTCATTTCCTGATTCGTCACTTCCGTCTGCATTCTCCTGTCCACTCACATTCCAGTTGTTGCCAACCGCCTTGGAGTCTATCCGCCTTGCCATCCTCTTCCTACGCTCGGCTCTCCGCTACCCTCCGTCTTCTCTCATTCACCGGTAGACACACACACTGAGGTCTGGCTCGACTCGTTGACAGTCCGTCTTCTCGCCTATCTTTAGCTGCTTTCACTGTCCTTCTCTCTCCATTCCTGTTCACTTCCGGGTACAGCAGCACGTAAACACGACCCGCACACCGACGAAAGAGCCGCTCTCCTGACCGCGGCGGGAAAACGTCACTTCCGGCCTGTGAATTGACCAATGATAGAGGCGGACAGTGCACTTCAGTAGTGCCGCTTACCGGGGGAAAACAACACTGCAGCGGTTACAACATCATCTTCGTCATCAGCGGCAGCTTTATAGCTTTATAGCTGCTGACATGATGATGTGTTCAACAGAGGGAAATACTGCTATGGCGTTTTGCGTGCTTGTTTATCTTCAGCTCGGACTGTCGGTTGTTGTTGTGTTCAGCACGTGCTGTTTCCCCGCCCCCGCGTTGTCAGGGTAACGCGATGCGTGCTGACGTCAGCGGGTGAGCTCAGCTCGGTGTCGGTAACGGCGGTGTGTGTGGTGTTTCTCCGGTGAGAATGGAGGTGACGGTGTCAATGGACCCGCTGTTTCTGGCCTGGAGCTCGTGCAGGCGGCGCAGGTTCCAGCGGTGCGCGGATATCTGCTCCACACTGCTGGCGGAGAGCCCGTACGACCAGGTGAGGGACGCAGAGAGGCTAGCGCTAGCAGAATAGCCGAGGATTAGCCTTCATAAGCGCATTATAATAACCGAGCGAACACAGTTCCTATATCGGTGTAAAACACGACTGATATGGCTGATGGATGAGAGCTGCTGTAACGTTACTGTCTTGCTTGTGTCATTATCTGAAACTCAAACTCTCCAACACTCCGCCAAGGAGCCTGCTGCTACCGCTACTGCTGCTCATGTGTCTGAGGTAAAAGAGCGCGAGCTCCTCCCAAACTGAGCTCTGAGTCCCCCATCACCACCCTGCTATCTGTTAGAGACCACACTAGCATGTGTACTAGCACACAACGTACAACATACCCTGCTGCAGTCCTGCAGACACTTCCTTCAGTCCTCAGTAGATTGATTCAGTGATTCAGTAGATGGTTATGTGTGTTTTGAAGTATGTGTGTGTGTGTGTGTGTGTGTGTGTTGTAGGCAGTGTGGAGCCTGAAGACGCGTGCGCTGACGGAGATGGTGTACATTGATGAGGTGGAGGTGGAGCAGGAGGGCATCGCAGACATGATGCTGGATGAGAGCTCCATCGCTCAGGTGGCTCGTGAGTATACAGCTGCAGAGAGAGAGAGAGAGAGAGAGAGAGAGAGAGAGAGCGTGTGTTTGTGTGTGTGTGGGTGTGTGTGTGTATGTTTCTCCATCACGCTGTTCTGCTCCTCCAGGTCCAGGAACATCACTGAGGCGTCCCGCCACGAGTCAGGCCGGCGCCCCCACTCCAGCCGTCAGGTCAGTGTGCATCTCCCGTGCAGTTCCTCTGTGAAAGCCATCCCACAGTTCTGGCACCGTGTACAGGATGTCCAGCTCAGCAGTGTTTTCATTGATCTTCTGTAAAAACTGTCTATTTAAATACCTCCATCATGACGTGTGTCGTTACTGTGAGATGGACTAACTCATGCTGTGGAGCAGACGTTGGTCCTGCCGCTCAGCCTGTAGTCTCCCCGGTGTGTTGGTGGGCTTCTGTTTCCTGCAGAACACTGCTGAACAGCACACACTGAGCCTCAGCAGGCCGACGTCAACTGCAGAGGTGTAGATCAGTGTGTGTTTGCACAGCCTCAGTGAAGTGTGACCATGTGTGTGTCTCAGGCCGATGACCCAGTCAGGTCGACCCATCACAGGGTTTGTGAGGCCCAGCACTCTGAGCGGTCGGCCGGAGACCATGGAGCAGGCCATCCGGACCCCTCGAACCGCCAGCACGGCCCGGCCCGTCAGCAGCGCCTCGGGGAGATTTGTGCGCCTGGGCACGGTACCAGCATCTCTCTCTCACACACACACACACACACACACACATACACACACACACACACACACACACACACACATCTACGCATACACATATTGATAGGGCATGTAGGACATGTTTAGATTATTGTGTTCATGTGTTCTGGCCATGTGATTGTGACACAGACAAATCTCCCAGAAACAGGGAATAACAGAGAATCAGGCAGGCAGGCAGGCAGGATCTCCCCCCTTTTGCCTTCAGAACTGCTTTAATCCTTCATGGCAGAGAACTGCAGCAGATCTGCTTGACCATGTCTACATGCCTAAATGCAGTGAGCTGCTGCCCTGTGATTGGCTGATTAGACTATGTGCGCTAATGAGAAGCTGGACAGGTGTACCTAATAAAGTGGCCAGTGAGTGTGTGTATGTTTATAGGGCATATATGAGAAGCACTTAATGGTCAGACTGTAGGTTTACAGTTCTGTTTAGTCTGTTGTTGATGGTGTGTGTGTGTGTGTGTGTGTGTGTGTGTGTGTGTGTGTGTGTGTGTGTGTGTGTGTGTGTGTGTGTTTCTCCTTTAGGCCTCAATGCTGACCCATCCAGACGGACCCTTCATCAACCTCTCCAGATTAAACCTGGCCAAGTACGCCAAGAGACCCAACCTGTGCAAGGTAACCCTTACTGGAGAACAGGAATCTGAATGTGTGGGTTTTGAAGAACACTATAATAACCCTGTTCCACAGCCTAAGAGGGTTTATTTACAGTCAAAACTGTGAAATATTATTGTAAATGCAGTATAAACTGAATAACTATTGAAGGTGGATTAAATGTAATGACTTGCTGTGGTGTAAAGCCGGATTGTCAGCAGACATTAGAGCATCAACGTCTGCTCATCAACACTCTTCTGTTGTTTGTGTTATTATTTGTTGTTAGTTTGGGAAGCTGATACTGAACCGTTGCTGGTATTATTAAACATGAGTCTACAGTTTATTCAGCGCAGTGAATTAGCTCTGAGTGAAAGTGTTTATATTGTATAAAGAGTGCAGATAAAGCTGATGTTTAAACTATCCTTTATTAAGCAGGAGTCATCACAGTGAAGCGCATCACAGGTCCCAGCAGTCGGTGAAGCCAGAATAAAGTTTAACCCCTGATCATTGTCATCATTAGAGATTCTGCACCAGAACAGCTGATCATCACATTACACTGATCACTGGAGGATCCTGAACACTGAACACTGCAGTGATGATCAGGAATAGATTACAGCACAAACTACTGCACATCCAGTAGGAAAACACGGATTAAAACACTGATAATGTTCCACTACTGCACCATAGGGAGCAGCATGGCCTGCTGTAAGCACATGAACACATCGCAGTGTTTCTGAGCTAATGTGATGTTGCTGATCTGCTGACTGATATAGTAATGATACTTATATTAAACTAACTCCGTCTGTCTGTCTGTCTGTCTGTCTGTCTGTCTGTCTGTCTGTCCGTCTGTCCGTGTCCTGCTCTCCTCCATCAGACCCTGTTTGAGTACATCTTCCATCATGAAAACGATGTCAAAACTGTGAGTACTCCTGATGTCTGATCAGCTGATCTCAGAGCAGTGAATCAGACTCCACATCTGCTGTGTGTGTGTGTGTGTGTGTGTGTGTGTGTGTGTGTGTGTGTGCAGGCTCTGGATCTGGCGGCTCTGGCCACTGAGCATGCTCAGTTCAAAGACTGGTGGTGGAAAGTTCAGCTGGGGAAGTGCTACTACAGGTCATACACTGCTCATAGCTGTTCACAGGCGTGTGTGTGTGTGTGTGTGTGTGTGTGTGTATGTGGGCTGTGCAATTTATCTAAATTCAATTGTGTCCTCCAGTGATTGTGAAAGACTGATGTATTAAGCATCCCTGCGTCATATGCTGCCCCTCTCCAGCAGTCTGCGTTGGTTTCTTCCACAGATCTCAGTGGAGGAGAGTTGTGTCATTGAGCGGTGTGTGTGTGTGCGTGCGCAGGCTGATTGCTCATGCCTTTCGGTCTGCTGGTCTACTGATAATCACTCGAAATAATCACATGTACAGTTTGAGCCTGATACTGCTGATGTGTGCAGGCTGGGTTTGCTCCGTGAAGCAGAGAAGCAGTTCAGGTCAGCTCTCGCTCAGCAGGAGTTCGTGGACACACACCTGTACCTGGCCAAGGTACAACCACACA